TCCACACTGTACCGCATGTTGTGTGTCTTCCTTGATGGTCTGGCTCCACACTGTACCGCATGTTGTTTGTCTTCCTTGATGGTCTGGATCCACACTGTACCGCATGTTGTGTGTCTTCCTTGATGGTCTGGATCCACACTGTACCGCATGTTGTGTGTCTTCCTTGATGGTCTGGCTCCACACTGTACCGCATGTTGTGTGTCTTCCTTGATGGTCTGGCTCCACACTGTACCGCATGTTGTGTGTCTTCCTTGATGGTCTGGCTCCACACTGTACCGCATGTTGTTTGTCTTCCTTGATGGTCTGGCTCCAAACTGTACCGCATGTTGTGTGTCTTCCTTTATGGTCTGGCTCCACACTGTACCGCATGTTGTGTGTCTTCCTTGATGGTCTGGCTCCTAACTGTACCGCATGTTGTGTGTCTTCCTTGATGGTCTGGCTCCACACTGTACCGCATGTTGTGTGTCTTCCTTGATGGTCTGGCTCCACACTGTACCGCATGTTGTGTGTCTTCCTTGATGGTCTGGCTCCACACTGTACCGCATGTTGTGTGTCTTCCTTGATGGTCTGGCTCCACACTGTACCGCATGTTGTATGTCTTCCTTGATGGTCTGGCTCCACACTGTACCGCATGTTGTGTGTCTTCCTTGATGGTCTGGCTCCTAACTGTACCGCATGTTGTGTGTCTTCCTTGATGGTCTGGCTCCACACTGTACCGCATGTTGTGTGTCTTCCTTGATGGTCTGGCTCCACACTGTACCGCATGTTGTTTGTCTTCCTTGATGGTCTGGCTCCACACTGTACCGCATGTTGTGTGTCTTCCTTGATGGTCTGGCTCCATACTGTACCGCATGTTGTGTGTCTTCCTTGATGGTCTGGCTCCACACTGTACCGCATGTTGTGTGTCTTCCTTGATGGTCTGGCTCCACACTGTACCGCATGTTGTTTGTCTTCCTTGATGGTCTGGCTCCACACTGTACCGCATGTTGTGTGTCTTCCTTGATGGTCTGGCTCCACACTGTACCGCATGTTGTGTGTCTTCCTTGATGGTCTGGCTCCACACTGTACCGCATGTTGTTTGTCTTCCTTGATGGTCTGGCTCCATACTGTACCGCATGTTGTGTGTCTTCCTTGATGGTCTGGCTCCACACTGTACCGCATGTTGTGTGTCTTCCTTGATGGTCTGGCTCCACACTGTACCGCATGTTGTATGTCTTCCTTGATGGTCTGGCTCCACACTGTACCGCATGTTGTGTGTCTTCCTTGATGGTCTGGCTCCTAACTGTACCGCATGTTGTGTGTCTTCCTTGATGGTCTGGCTCCACACTGTACCGCATGTTGTGTGTCTTCCTTGATGGTCTGGCTCCACACTGTACCGCATGTTGTTTGTCTTCCTTGATGGTCTGGCTCCACACTGTACCGCATGTTGTGTGTCTTCCTTGATGGTCTGGCTCCACACTGTACCGCATGTTGTGTGTCTTCCTTGATGGTCTGGCTCCACACTGTACCGCATGTTGTTTGTCTTCCTTGATGGTCTGGCTCCATACTGTACCGCATGTTGTGTGTCTTCCTTGATGGTCTGGCTCCACACTGTACCGCATGTTGTATGTCTTCCTTGATGGTCTGGCTCCACACTGTACCGCATGTTGTATGTCTTCCTTGATGGTCTGGCTCCACACTGTACCGCATGTTGTATGTCTTCCTTGATGGTCTGGCTTCATTTAGTGCCCATGGAAATGGGTACCCGGTAGTGACAGACTGTGTATGTCGAGACTAGATGAGGATGTTTATTGCATGCTGAGGTGAAGGGCGAGGTTTGGGCAGTGTGAACCGCGGCTGCACATTATGTGGCTGTACCTGCCCTGCCCTGCCCTGCCCTGCCCTGAACACAAGTACAGCTTATATCAAGCCGTTTCAGATGTGTGTGACCATTTGTTGACATTCTCAAAGTGAATTTGTAGGCCTCGTGAGGTTGTACATGAGGATTGTGGTACGGTTATCCAGAGAGCGTATAGTATTGTGCCCATGTATGTGATACAGCTGTAATTCGCAAACTGTCGGTACTTTTGTTATTGGGGCGATGAATGTCCGTGAATATTATGTTATGTAATATATGCTCTCACCATTGACATGGGCCTTGGGGCGTTGACATGGGCCTTGGGGTGTTGACATGGGCCTTGGGGCGTTGACATGGGCCTTGGGGTGTTGGGGATGTTGACATGGGCCTTGGGATGTTGGCATGGGCCTTGGGCTGTTGACATCTTTTAAGCACTGTATTATAATGATATATTTTGACCAAACTACAACATAGAAATGAATACATAATTCAGTAAGTCATTTGGTCTCAACTAACATTCCAATAAGCCTTTACGTTATTTAGTTCACGTTTGATTCTCTCCCGTATCTAGCTGCTCATTCATCTTCACGTGTCGTTAGCCGTTACTTACATCTGGAGCCGAAAAGAAACCTGCAAGCCTATCTACCTATCAATGCCTGTCAAACTATCTCTAACGTGTGTCTAATTTGGAAGTTTATCTATCCGTACGCTCTGTCCACATGGAATATTCTTTAAATAATAAATTGATTAAGTATGGCTTTATAAGCTTTACAATCTGTCTTATAAATTGCACAGGATATTAAATATATTCAATTGGTCAGTTTCATGACATGCAATAACACATAATGGCCGAGTTTTTTTTTACGGAATTTGTTATTCAAATATCCAATATCCTTTCCTAGGTTAAGTCAGCGCGGTGTGACACATGTCAGGCAGCACTACTACGAGCCTGATCACCCGATCCCGTTAGTCGCCTCTTACGAGAAGCATGGATGACGTTTATGGCAATCATGGATTGCTGAAGACCTATTCTACCCCGGATCTTCACGGGTCTATAGACGAAACTGGTGAGGGTATATAGGTTTGGCCTCCGACTTCAGTGGGGACACGTTTTCTGCCCAGAGAGTGCAATATGGGTGGTTCGATCCCCGACTGCGTCATACCAAAATACGCTGACGGGTGGTACTTGTTGTTACCCTGACTGGTGATGAAACAAGGACTGGATGGCTCGAAGTCGATATACAGTGTTTGGGTGGGTTGCCCATGTTAAACTGGGACATGGTATCTCAGTTCGCTAGCTGCGTGGTCCGGGCCTGATCGAGTATGCGTGGTCCGGGCCTGATACATTATACATGGTCCGGGCCATCGCTGTAATAAGCGTTATTAAATACTATTTCTTACTAATTGATAATTAAACGGCCCGGCTTGTATATGCTACTTAACTTTGCAGTTACGTGAACTATATTGGACAGCTATGTAACCCGTGGGTTATGTATCATAACGAACACAACACAAAATAATATCCTTATTTATTACCCATCCGTCAAGAGGTATCCCCTTAATAAAAATACATCTAAATGAAACATCGTTTGATGCCAAAGCGCGTGCTTTTGTCTGCCGATGCGACCTTGTGTGCTAGGATGACGTCACAGGGCCATGTTGTGCGCGTCAATCTTGCAATAGAATTTCACAAATTACGTCATGGGGTTCTATTGTGACTAATTAATACATGTCAACTTTCGATGTGTTTGCATAATTCTGTTGAAGTCAAATGGATTATACAGTGGATCGCGTCGATGTCTGCATATTCACACCCGACAGTGACATATTGTGTTCATCGTTTATGGCGGGAATTCCCATAGTTCGATCAACTGAGTGAGGGGGGCTGTGGGCAATCTCTTTACGGTACTTCAACTTCCTGGGCAGAGCCTTTGATAATCTTTGTTGAGAGAAGCATCACACCAATTTTATAAACAAACATTTAGTTACTCACATACATATTTCAATTTATTATACAGACCAATTTCTTTCGTGTAGCTTAGATTAGATGCCCGCGTAACGGGAAAAGAGATCTTTCAGATCTACTATTTGATAATGTGAATCCCTTGCTATTGCAATATATGCTCGACGGTGAACCTTTCATCACAAGGGATACACTTAGGAGTTTCGTCCTCATCTGTCTTAAGCAGATATTTGTGTGATATCATGTCTTGACTGACAACCCAAGAAGATATGACCGATTGTTGGTTTAAATTTAAGTTTATTAATTCCTACATGGGTGTCCCACCAGTTTTGCATAAGTTCCCGGGTATAAGTTTTGATGGTTGGTTTGAAATCGCTATACGGAATATGGAGTGGGGAAAACGGTTTGTCAAGATGCCTACGTGACATGGCAACCAGCAAAAGAGATGTCACATTGGCCAGTTGAAAGATTGAAAAGGTCTAATAAGTGGAGGATTATAGGATGTTATGACGAAACACTTTAAGTGCCTAAGGCAAAACAATGAATTTGAAAATGTGATGAAGTGTTTCCATTGATTTTGTTTCCATCAAATGAGGTTTTTAAAAGTTTTAAACGGCAAGTAATAAACAAAATACTAAACGAGCTCCCGTGTAATACAAAATTGATGACACTCGTGAATGGTTCTTGTATCGAACTCGCGAAAGCTCGTTCAGGTTTCTATATTAATCTGCTGACTGCAATGTACTATGTCAAATCAATCAATGTCGTCTATGCGGAAAATGAAGATAACTTGACATTTTACAATTATATACAACTCCGGAGGATGTTACCAAGGATGTTTGTAATCGCACACTGTCATACACCGACCTTTACGTGCATGCGTTTACATACATGTACACACAGATATACATAATTTACATAAGCATAAAAAATGTAAGTTAAAGTTTAAACATTAAAGTAAAACCTTATCGTCTAGCACAGTTGGCGCACTGACGTCACACACCAAAAGTACTATTAGATGATTAAGGGACATGCCACCTGTTACAGCTCATTATAGATTAATATTGCATGAGTGCCCATGACTTAGTGCTTGTGTAATACAGGTCAACTAAGATTGTTCCACGTACGATCTTTCACCGCCCCCCCCCCCCCCCCCCCCACACACACCCCTCTCTCTCTCTCTCTCCCTCTCTCTCTCTCTCTCTCTCTCTCTCTCTCTCTCTCTCTCTCTCTCAGGTGTTACTGGACCCTACTGCTGTGTCCTGCCCACCGTGCTGTTGTAAATGACGTCATACAGGTCGAGTTCGTTGCTGTTTGTGTAGTGACAATCCATCCAGTTGACCGTGTAGGGTTCATCCCAGGGACTTGCCGCCACATGGAGAGTTTTGTTCAGGAGGCAGTGATCAGTGACGACTGAGTTGACATATTTGAAGTGCGCCACCTCGGAGTGGAACGACGGACCCTCTTGCCAAACCTTCCTCCAGAAAAGTGACCGGAAGTAAGCGTAGATGTCGTAATCTGTCTCTGCCACCTGGCGATGACGTTCACGATATTTGTCAGTGAATGTAAGCCTTTTCTTTTTTTCATTCTTGTTTTTGGGTAAGTACAAAATATCTTTAGTGCTCCAACAAAAGTACCGCTTTAGAAGCACCAGTGACTCGTCGAAATGTTCCATTACCATCACAAGCTGGAAATCTTCTGCCATCTGTGTCAAGTAGAGAAAACGACTAGTTTTGTTCTGAATCATTTCGTCCGTGAAACCGAAGTCGTATGCAAGAGAGTTGAGGGTATGACTCATCACGACATCTTTGTCTTCAAAATCCCACGGATTATCGAGAAAGCCATTGACAATAGATTGGTGGTCTTTAAGCCCCCAGAACCCGTCAGTGACGTGCTGTCCAGGGCCATAGTATTCAAAAGCTGACACAAACTGATCCATTGGATGTCTGACGATAGAGATGTATCTGGTGTCCGCCGGCATGACGTTCTTGAAGGCACTGCGATTGTAGACGACGTGGTTCCACAACACGTCGTACGTTGAGCCTGCCGGCGGCGGAATGACATTGTCTCTGCTGACGGTGTCCCGAGCCCCGCCGATGTAGTTGTAGCTTAACCCGTGGAACGGTTTTTTGGGAACAACAAAAGAGAGGTTTCTCTGGATTCCAAAGCGCTGTATGATGTTCGCCACCGTGGAACTGCCTGCCTTGTGCACCTTCAGAAATGCGACGTGGGTGACCACAGTGCAGGCGGACTTCGAGTGGGACTCGGGTGTATGTGTGATGGGAAGTCTACACGGGATTCTGTCGGGTTGCTGGTTTTGAAGGAAAACTGATGTGTTGAGTGAGATCCATAACAGCAGCGTGACGCAGGCAAGGATGACCACGAACCTGGGATACAGAAACACATGTTTTGACAATACATCGGGTTACTATTTGAACGTGCAGTGTACCTGATTGAATGATACACTGAGGTTGTACTAACGTCATGGATTGAAACATAAGGCGGAATAGTGGACACATGAACACACTATTCCTCAAAATGGGGTAATAACGCTAGGTCGCTGTGGGGCTGTGGGCATGCCTACAGGCACTACAGAAATATAGTCGTTATTTTTATCACTAATATAATGCGTCACTTCTATTTGTCTGTGAAGATCCGGGGTAGAATAGGTCTTCAGTTATCCATGCTTGCCGTAAGAGGGGACTAACGGTTATGTTACATCAAATAGTTAAGTTTATTAAGATTTGGTAACAATACTATATGTGTACTGTGTTTTTTGACTGGCTATTTTTGTGTGAAAAGTAGCCTGCTGTTCGGGTAAAAAAAGTTCAAATAATATTAAATGCTTATTAAAAGCTAGATACAAGTGACATGGGCCTGCTTGTGACGTTTCATGGGGTTCTGCTGAATAGTGTAAGAAATATGAAGTATTTAGTATGTGATTTGATGAAGGAAATTACATGTTTTCTCCTTATTATCACCCTCACTCCCAAAATAAGAGTGCAATGACAAAACTGATTATTTGTGACAAACGTGTAATCTATCACGGAGGTACATGCAAAATTTCATGAAGATCGGCCGAATAGTTTAAGAAATAATATCGTTTCTTTACGAGTGGGTATTTGTTGTGACAGGCTAACTATCCAGCGTATCGCCCGGGCTGCCTAGTAATGTGAAGGCGGCCAGACTCGCCAGCAGTGCAACGGCTCATGTTGTAAGGCAGCTCGGTGGGTCCTGGCGCGGTGCGCCGAGTGTTGGTAACTCGGAATGCGGGCGGTATCTCCTCGGGGATATTACGACGCATGAACGGTGCTCGTGTCGGAAGATATTTGCGTGTGATCTCGGTTCAGTTTTAGCTAGTAAGCCTTAACTCTCCGTGTATCGTGCGCTGTTCCTCGGCAGTACGTTGGGTCGCGATCCTCTTCTCCGTGGCAAATCATCGACTACACAGTAAAGTTCGTAAGTCCCCCTTCACAACTGGTGACCAGTGCTCCCATGACGAAAGGTAACGGTCGGCAAACGTCGCTCTCGTTTCCCGGGGTGCCCTGCCTTATCGTTAGGTGGGAACGTCCTCGTCGCCGGGAGTCAGAAAACGGCTCGTGGTAGACTGAGTGAGGTTGAGAATGCAACAACCGACGTTGCAGCCAGGCGACCGCTCGCCTTTGCTACCAACTGCTTGCATAAGCAATCTGATTGTCGTGAGGAAGGCAGACCCCGGCATCCGGGGTTCGTCTGCGCTCGGTACGAGAATCAATCGCCGACGTCAAAGCAGCCCGTGGCGTCACCCCCGCACTATCGTTTCGGGTCGGGCTTTTGTGAAGTAGTCGCTTTTCCACCCCGAGAACGCTCTCGGCGGAGGGGATTGTGGAAGGGATGGCTGGCCGCCTCGGTCGGGTTGAGCTTTTTACGGGACTCGCTCGTGTGTTTCGGGGCTCTCCTCGCCGGCGGTTCGGACGTCCCGGTCTGTTTGTCTGCAAAGACTAGGACCTATCTGGTTGATCCTGCCAGTAATCATATGCTTGTCTCAAAGATTAAGCCATGCATGTCTAAGTACAAACTCTAGCACAGTGATACAATCCTACTTGGATAACTGTGGTAATTCTAGAGCTAATACATGCACTAAACACTGCAAACACGAAAACGTCGTTTTTTCCGTATATGGTCATTGGACGGAAAAACGACTAAAAATTCATTAAAATTGATTAATTAGTGAGCGTCTAGAAAGTGTGCAGAAAAGGGTCGAGTTTTTCAAGCGTAAAATGGACAGAAAAACGATGCTTTTTGCTCCACCTTGTACAACTGTTAACGGCCAATCAGATGGCGCTGGTCCCCCGACGCACGTGATTCCTAAGGCTTCCTTTCGAAAGCTTTAGGTTTCGTATTTCTGGCATGCCTTGGTCTAGTATCTGTCGCGCGCAGTGCAGCGAGATTTGCTGATAAGCTAGTTTTAGGATATGTAACATGTTAATGGAATTCAGGCACGCGCCAAGAAGTCAAACCAAACAATGTTACCAAGTTTATTCTGGTAACATATCCCTCGGCTATGAACAGTTACAACTATCGGATAATGGGTTGTGTTTCATTTGGTTATAATAATAACTAATTTTTTAAAGTGAAGTTTACAAGATATACGGCTAGGACGAGAGGTCGGTCACATGACGTTCTTCACGTGACTGTATTCTTGAAATGGCGTAAACACTGGCTACTTCCACATTCCTGGAGAAAACCCTTTGAATTCCCTGGTACGAATTCATACAGAAGCGTGGTTGCATGCCCGTTACGGATACCCTCGCTACAACCCATCCCAGAGAAAAAACAAACGAAAAAAACATCCAAACTATCGTAGTGACAATCTACAGCAATCTATGAATTTACCTTAGTATCTATTTGACACATCTTTACAATCACCTTTCAACGATCGGCCAATTGATCAGTGATGACAAAGGCTTGAAATAGCCACAGGTTAATTAACAACTTCTGGAATATCTCCCGTCACGTTTATCGTGTCGGCCATTTTGACGTATTGTACTTGATGTAAATGTATTACGACGCTCTGTCATTGTAATTGACTTACTGAGGTAATTCTGAAAAAGATCTTCTCATCTGATGAGGATATATATTGTTTGGAATATATTGCTTGTAAACATACTAAAACATGGGGGGAACTATTTTATTCCGGGATGGCCTATTAAAGTTAGCAGTAAGTCAAGGCGCCATGCGTGTATATGATCTGTTATTATATGTGTTTAAATTACGGTTTGGGGCGTTAATAAAATACACTGACGCAAGTATATTCTATTCAAATCAATTGGATAATTGAATATGCTTTCTTTTACATATTACATAACAGCACTGCACAACATTTGAACAGTTGCAGTAACACACTACGGTAATCGCATTAAACACCATTTTCAACTCTACAGTATTTCAGTATTTCAGTTATTTCACGGTGTACAGACTGATATGGGATTAAAATCCGAATTGGTTCAGGCCATCCAACGGGTGTTCGGGAAAAGGTGAGCGTATCCTGCCACACAAGTGGCACCCGTCACAAACACATGCAAGGACAAGTCAATTGTTCACCTGAACAAAGCACGGAAACACACAATGATGCCCGTCCTCACTTATACCGAGCATGTAAATTATATTGTCCGTCAAAAACATGGACGAGTATAAACAATATGTTCATTCACGTAATACATGTCATACATTTTGACAAAATGTATTGACTCGGAGCATTATTGTTAATCACAACGTATAGACTCGGCATGCAGTTGAACTCATCACCCATCCCATTATTGATAATCCTTCTTGAAGATCTATGAAATCAGAAGCTGCAACACTTTATCTTTTAATTGGCATGTCAGACTTCTATTTCATAACTCAGTTTTATTTGCACGGCTCACTATTGAAGGGACATTGTCGCATTGTCGCATTGACGCCCTTACAAAAACAAGCAAAACGTGTCAAAATTAACAAAAGCGCGACAATTGGCCATTTGTCGCATTGTCGCGCGTTTGCATTGTCGCTCTTTGAATAATCCTTTATTTTACAAAAGGGCGACGATGCCGTAACGCGACATTTTCAAGGTCTCGTTGTCGCATTGTCGCCCCATCACAAATGTGTATAAAAGGCGTAAAGTTTAGTTAATGTTACAGTTAGGAAGAGGTAACCAAGTTACATCTGTCGTAGAAGTTCAACCTGATACATGTAAGTCTTGGAATGAAAACACAAGTCCGTCCGCGAGTCCATAACGTTTTATTGTGAGCTCTTCTCTAAAAGTGCTTAGTGTTCGAGTCCTATTTCCAAACACGTAGTACCTCATCAACAATCCACATACCTCTAGTGCAGTGGTCTTCCGGAAGATCTTACTCTTGACCGCATTAGACAACTGACGAGTGCACGCCTGACCTGTGACCTCGTTGCAACCCTCATGAGGCGTTTGCCGAAGGGAGAGGGGTAGGAAATGTGTGCTCCAGCCCAGCGCAGAGCTCGCAACACACTGTATACTGAATGTTGTATACAGTATATTGCAGTTGATATACTGTATACTGCATGTGATACTTATTAGCGGAAATGTTACAACTTTCAAGATTCAAGATTCAATTTGCATTTATTTCATATACAACAGACCGCCGTAATATATCACTGGAATACAGCTGAGAGCGGCGTTAAAACAATTTGTTTTCATAATGGAGCGCTGCAGTCATTTAAAATAGAACCGTAAACATATGTAGTACCAACTTACTCACTCTGTTTCGAATATTCAGCAGAAAATATATTATTAACCAGGTCTTTGGGAAGAGATATCAGATTTTTGCAGTCACAGGGATGATGAAGGACCCCTCGCTGATTAGGTTCTTGTTTACTTAAGAGCAGAGTTGGCCATGTTAGATGATATAACCAAAATCCAGGAGCTCCGGCGGGGGGCAATCTGGTCTTGTTAGTGTATGGTATGAGCTGTGGCGTTGACCCAAGAGAATAATGTAAAAAATGAGACCAACTCAGGTCTATAATGATTGGGAAAGTCTAGATTTCCACAGCCCTAGCCTGAAATAAAGAATTGTTATAGGCTCCATTTTAATTGTATTATGTTCATTTTGTAGACCTGGACCAACCAGGAGGGAAATTGATGGAATATTAATATCACATGTTACCACTGATCCAGTTAAATTCATCACACAATAATATAATTAGTATTTGACATTACGGCATTTGATTATTAGGGCATGATCATATACATGTTCACTGTAGTAATGTACACATCAGTCAACTTGATTATATTTTTTATTATAGTGTAGCGCGGCATCAACGATTACTTTATGATATCCTCACTTGTCATCGATGTATTGACATCGAACAATGGACGACAATTCGAAATTCTTATAAATAGCTTCAATAGGGACAGCGCCGGTGTCAGTACAATTTTCCTAGTTAAAAATATGTCTCTACAAAATATGGTCTGAAGCAGACAAGAACAATATTTTTTTATTAATGCTTAATTTCATGGATAGAATTGAGGCAATCTAGGCTTGCCAAATCGTTCTAGACTTGAGCTGGATTCCTTTTAAATTTATTCTCTATGGTCTGGGAGACGAACGGGCGTCAGTATCGCATGGAGAACTGGGACAGCCTGAATCAGTGTAACCGGATATGTTGTGGAGTTTCGGTTTTGGGCTGTTTGCTGAATAGAACAAGGGCTCACGAACAAGGGCACAATGTAGAGATTAAATCATTACCACCTCTTTTTATATCAGATATGTTATTGTGATTTGAAATCTCTTTTGGAGAATTGCGAGTTATGTATACTCTGTATTCTTTCGTCATGGTAGCATATATATTTTCTATGTTGCTTTTGGAATTATCCACAAATAATGATAACTACAATGTAAACCTCTCTTTGGAGATATACAATAATACTCCTGAAGGGCATATCTGAAAAATGGGACTTATCGACAAATATTTCTTTCTTAAATACTACCCGTTACAGGTATTCTGATCATTATATTATACTTTGTACAGTTTAAAAGTCAAATAATGGCAAATTGTGTATCTTTCTACATTTTGAATTAATTATAATTTCTGCAATAAAACCTTAGGTGAGCGGGGGTCAAGAACGGTGGAAACGTGACCTCCAGGTCAAGGTCTACCCGCATGCAAAATTTCAATGCGCTGCGACAACTTTGACATCCGAGTGGTTAGGGTTAGGGTTAGGGTTAGGGTTAGGGTTAGGTTAGGGTTAGGGTTAGGGTTAGGGTTAGGTTAGGGTTAGGGTTAGGGTTAGGGTTAGGTTAGGGTTAGGGT